ACACTGTGATATTAGAAGATCTACCAGAAACAGTGAAAAGTTGTAAATGTCAGGGCGTAAATTTACTGCAGATGACGTTACGATTAATGCTCTCTCTAGATAGTTACGTCGTAGTGAATTGTTTTCTCCTTTGATGAGAGTAGCATTTTTTATGTCAAAGTTGTGGCCAGTCTCGTTACGACGGGCAACCAGCGCATTTGACCTATTATTTTGTAAAATATCCCTTTTGTGTGCATATAATCTTTTAATTAGATTCCTTGAGGTTTCCCCTATGTATTTTTGTGACAGTTATTATAGGCGATGGAGTAACCCCCCCTTTCGGGTTTTAGCTTATTGCTTTGGATGTAGTAGTAACAACTTTTATGTTGACTTTAAGTAGATTCTTTTCGATTGTAGATGTGACAGAATTAGTAAGCTGGATAATATATTTTTTGGATTCATTGGGTTTCTCAGTCAGGTTCATTTACTTGTGTTGGTATATTTTATCGGCCTTTGTTTTGCTTTGAATATAAAATAAAAATTCTAAAATTCCCAGCAGCCTTCTGTTGTGTGCATGTATTGCCCCACAAACATAATAAATTTAGTCCGATGATTTTCTGAAGGACGAAACGCGTCACACTTTTCCCATTTATCATACAATTTCCCCAAAACTGTTCTTTATATATAAAAATATATATCGTTATATCGTTATCTCATAGTCTAACCATGAAATCTCTCACATACAATCTCTGTCTCTCTCTCTCCATGTATATATATATATATATATATATATATATATATATAAGTGAACATTGAAGTCCACACTCAGAGGCGACAGGCTGTTTCATGTTGGACGCAATCGTCAGGCCGCCTGATGATTGCGCCCAGCATGAATCAGTCTTGTCGCCTCTGAGTGTTGACTTCAATGTTCACTTATATATTTACATACCCTCTATCTCTGATATTGAGCACTTTATCTCATAAATATAGTACATCTTAAAACTATATATATATATATATATATTGAACACTTTATCTCATAAATATAGTACATCTTAAAACTATTTATATATATATATATATATATATATATATATATATATATATATATATATATATGATAGGTGTTCTACAATCTACATTCAACATCATCACTTGATAAGACCAGAGGTGTTGAAAAAAAATGGCTATTTTTGTAGTGATTTTATAACATATTTATGTTATCATTTTTAAATAAATAATAATTGTATATATATATATATATATATATATATATATATATATATATATATATATTGTGGGACTTCAAGGCAAATGCAAGGATCTTATTTGTAACAAGTATTTATATACAAGAGCAAAAATGTTATTGGTTTTCATAATTTGGAATTTAGGAGCAGTTGTTATTCATCAGGTTACTTGAAACGTCATTGAAGCTATGGAAGACACGAAGTGATACAATTCAATGTCTAATAAAGGAAAATGACTAACTGATGTTTTATTTTTTTGTGCAAGTTAGTATCAAAATTAATTTAGTTTGGGTGTGTTATATATTTTGAGTAACATGATTTTTCATTTATTTAACATATTATTAGTCATATACATTTTCTTTAGAAAGTAGTAGTCCTTTCAGCAATGGTGACCATGGGAAAATATCCGGGGCGCAGATTTATCTTTTGATAAGATTTGATAGCGGCAGTGTCGAGAATTTTCCGTTTAAGTTACTTTCTCTTTTAATAAGTGTGGCATTCCTTAGATCTAATTTGTGGTTGAATTTATGGCTATGTAACTCTAATGCATTTGATAAATTTTCGTATGTAAGATCCTTTTTTGTGCATAGTTACATTTTTATTTTTTAATTTCAGCCAAGTTTCATCGATGTATTTAGAGGAACACTTCAGATATTTTAGCCTGTTTGCCGTAAAAAAACACATTGATTTGGAAATTCTTGCAAAACTCAAATAATTTTCTCATTTTAACGAAACTTTTAAAACTTATTCACAAATGAATTAGATTATTTTAATAAAATTTTCTTAAAAAATCTTGGTAGAAATATGTTTTTTACATCTGTTACCCGCTCCACATATACACACAAACACCCTTACTTAATTAATGAAATTTCTAGAAATTAAATTTTGTCCCTCTTCACATTAATTAAAAGAAGGTCTCCTCGGAGAATGTAATTCGCCACTTTTTTTTTCAAACAGTTACTCATTTACTGAAAATATTTTTCTGAACCGTAAAATGAAAAATGTAATTAAACTAAGACATTATTTTATTAGAAAAGCTTTTAATTGCTTTTTAAAATAAGATATATTAAGAACACTATTGTCTTGAGAAAAAATTTCGATGAATAATTAATTTTATAATATTTTTTTATTTTTGTTTTACATTTTAATCAGAGTAACTTATTAAGTTTTAAATATTTTTTTAATCTTTTGATATACTATATTAATGTAACTCTGTATTTAATTTAATTCTGGATTTAAATCATGATGTTATTATTAAGTGAAAACTATATTTACAAATTATAAACTGAAAAACTTAGTAGACATCATTAAGCAGCTGTAGTTTTAAAAGAATGTTGAATATTTTATGTGCCGATTTTCTTTATACGGATCCCCATACACGACATTATCAGAAAATAAGGGCGATAAATATAGTAAATTTACGGCCAAAAATATTTAAAATTCAATAAAACATTAGATTACGTAGAATATTTTCTTAAATTTTTAAGAGTACTAAAGTATATATAAAAGGCAACAATTCAAATATAAGGATTGCATTATTCAAAGAAATGATAGTAAGTTAATGTCTCATTAAGTCTTGTTAGCGAAGTGATTTCACCATTAATTCCATTCCTACTTTAACGATAAAGCCTTCATAGAACACCATTAGATAAATATAAATCTGTCATGAAAGTGACAAACACGCGAACACATTTAAACACACACTCAGATTTACCCGACACTATTAGGAACATACTAGTAGAAAACACAAATATATTAACTGCATCCACTTGCAAAAAAAGACTAAAAATAATGGAAGCTCTAATAATAAAAAAGAAAAAGCCAACTCTTAACAATATTAACTATGAACAAAGCCACAATGTGCTAACCGTATTCGGAAACTAAAAACATCACTACCACACACTGAACATCACAGAACACACACACTCTACTAAGCTGATAATTGAATCATCCTGGATAATGGCTAAAGATATAGCCGAAAGCGCTCGGAAATACAGAACATTCGGACAGTTCTTACACACTCTTTGTCCAGAAAAGAAATTAAATAAAAAGCTCAACCGTAGTACCTTGTCTGTCGTTTTTAATGAAACATGCATAAAGGAAGGATTTCTGCCTAAATATACAAATATATATATATATATATATATATATATATATATATATATATATATATATATATATATATAATATCTTAAAAGAAGTAATTATACAAAGAATTAATTAATAATGTTAATGTGATTAATGGGGAAATCACTTCGCTAACAAGCTTTTATGAAACATTAACTTACTATCAATTCCTTGAATAACGCGATCCTTATATTTAAATTATTGTCAATACATTCAGAATCTAAATTTCTGTGAGAAAAAATTACTAAAACATTTTACTCTATTAGTTGGACTATACTTCAGTCCGTGTCACTTCAACTGAAAGATATATACCACAACAAAAATTTGTGGATTTATCATATCATACAAAAAATTCAAATAAAATACTCACTTGAATCATTTAAACAAGAACTCTAGCGTTGCGGCATGGCACGTTCCAAAATAATATAACTGTCAATAAATAGCATATTTTCAAAACATCTTTCGCTCTACACTACATTTATTTCGCCTTGGTGTTTACCTGTAAATAGAAATATTATGCCCTGAATATTACTTGGCTCAGTATCATCAGTTCCATCTGGCAACAATTCAAATATAAGGATTGCGTTATTCAAAGAATTGATAGTAAGTTAATGTCTCATTAAGTCTTGTTAGAGAAGTGATTTCACCATTAATCAGATTAACATTGCTAATTAATTCTTTATATAATTACTTCTTTATGATATAATATATATACTCCACAAATTCATATATATATATATATATATATATATATGTATGTATGTATTACTGAAAGTGTACTTTGGTAAAGTTTTCTTTTATTTACTTTAATATCAACAGGCCTCGATCAAGAAGTACAAAAATACCTCTCAGAAATACCACCCGCATAATAGTAAGACATTAGTGGCAATGGTGTCTTCATCTAGTTGATGTCTTACCATTAAGTGGGAGGGATTTTTGCATAAATTGTATTATTAATGAAAATGCACTTCCCAGAAGGAATCAAAGCTCTATTCCTTTTTTTATTCAAGGAAACCACTCCTGTGGCCGAAGCATGTTGCTACCAATTACACACACATACATATATATATATATATATATATATATATATATATATATAGAGAGAGAGAGAGAGAGAGAGAGAGAAGACATGACTCTTGGGGCACGGTTACGAGGTTATCCGCCTACTTGGATGAATATCACTGCTGGACTGAATAAGTAGAGACGCTATATCGAGTCTAGTTTGTGTCTTCTTCGAGGCCCATGGTACAGTTGATATGACGTTTGCGTTGTATGGAAATGGTCCGGGTTCGATTCTCGGTAGTGGATGCGCACTGCTGATGTGTTCCAAATAAGACGAAACGGCCATCCAGTGCTTTCTGCATTCTGTTGAAGATTATTCTACGCTCGATGAATTACTATATATATATATATATATGTGTGTGTGTGTGTGTGTGTGTGTGTAGTCTCTTTGAAAATATGCGAAATAAGCCAACTAAAGGTCATGACCGCAAATAACCTAAAGCATTAGCCCTAAGCAAACGAACTCAGAAGGACCGATTTTCTCTTTACTCGATTTTCCTTAATTCCCAGCGCTTATTTCTAGTACCCGAAAAAGAATTAGTGTCACATTCTAAAGATCGTTTGAGGCCTGAAACTTACATTTACCCATTGCTATTGTTTTTCATGTCTCCACTATTTATAATTTCCCCCTCTCTTTCATAGATTGATAGATATGAGCATAGATAGATAGATAGATAGATAGATAGATGAGAATAGGCTAAGATAGATAGATAGATAGATAGATAGATGAAGTCAACGACGAAATTATTCGGTTTTATGTGTTAATAAGCACAAAAAGGAATATAAAAGACAATTTTCAGGACAAAATGACAGGCAAACTAAGCAAAATAGTAAAAGACAAAATTATTTCTACAGGATGGAAAATAGAAAAAAATGAAAGATTTTCACAATATTACTTATCAATAGCATGACCTCTCATTTTTATAACTTGGTGCAATCTTTTTCTAAATGCTTTGATGAAATTTGGTTACACGTTCTAATTCCTGAAGGTTTTTGGTGATCGACGATTTATTCAAACTTTCAATTCTTGTCATAGATTTTCAATAGTATTCAAGTCAGGATTCATTGAAATTCATGGCAGAACCGTGATCTCCTTTTTCTTCAGCTATGAAGTCACTCATTTAGACGTATGTTTGGGATCATTATCTTGCTGGAAAGTAAAATTCTGTAGATTTTCAACCAGAATTTTGATATATTCTGCAGATTTCATTATTCCTCTTATTGCAATTAATTGCACCCCCCCCGCCATCCCTTGAGCTAAAACAAAAAAATCATCGATCAGCCTCCATGTTTTAATATTGCCACTGTATTCTTTGGGAGGAAAGCCTCAGATTTCTTGTTTGATCACCCCATAGTACTTATTTTCAAAAGCAATTTTCTTTGTCCAAGAACGTTTTGGCAAAATTAAACCGAGCAACAATGTTACATGGTTTGTGAAGAAGAGCTGGTCGTGGTAAGTTTCCATACAACCCATTTTTATTTAAACAACGTTGTATTCTGCGAGTACTTATGCTGATACCCATCGTATCCAAACTTTTCGAGATGTCTTTCAAAACAACTCTTGGGTTTATATTAACCTCGCAACACAGTTTTCGTGCATTTCTCAGTGACAATTTGTGTTTTCTTCCACGCCCAGACAAATTCTCTGCCATGTCAAACTATTTCAACTTCTTTATAACGGACTGTACCGTAGATCTAGGGATAGCTAACCGGTTTGCAATAGTTCTATAACTATTTCACGACTTGTGGGAGTTAATAATACTCAAAGCTCCTTTGTCTTCCTTAGTTGTTAACTTAAGAATGACAATAGTATCACTTCATGAACCACGTGATGTTCTTTGCTGGAATTATCACAAATATTCTACTGAATATATACTCTAGAAGGCTTCACCGATAATATAATTATGTAAATTATTTATCAATCAATTGAAAAAGGTATTTTCTGCTGTACGAATAATTTTCTCTTCCTATTTTTTTATAATTCGTCTGTCAAATTTGTTATATTTAACCTATTATTCTGAAAATTTTTGTATTCCTTTTGTGTGCTTATTAGCATATGAAAAACCTGGCATCATACTGGTATTAGATTCCGAGAAATGGATAAAAATATTCAAAATTGATGTGTGTACGAATAATTTCGTCGTTGACTGTCGATAGATAGATAGATAGATAGATAGATAGATAGATAGATAGATATCAACTCACTGACATAGATAGATAGATAGATAGATAGATAGATAGATAGATAGATAGATAGATATGAACTCACTGACAGATAGATAGATAGATAGATAGATAGATAGATAGATAGATATCAACTCACTGACATAGATAAATAGAGATAGATAGATAGATAGATAGATAGATAGATAGATAGATAGATAGATAGATAGATAGATAGATAGATAGATATGAGAGTGGGGCGGAAAGGAAGTTGAAAGACAAGACAGGAAGCCTCTTTTTGTGATCACTTCGGAAGAAGGTCTTTTTTTAGATAACATTAAATTGTTGATAACGTTAAGCAAAAGACGTAACAATCGGAACTATTTTCGTTCATTTATATGAACAATGTCACATTATAATCATGGATACAAAATTTACTGACTTGAAATTAGTCTCTTGTATTTCATTTTGAATAAACTGTTTTCGTTTGGAATTGATTTCTTTTAATATTTTTTTATAAATAATAAACGCTTTCCTCCCGCCCTCCTCTCTCTCTCTCTCTCTCTCTCTCTCTCTCTCTCTCTCTCTCTGTGTGTTTCTCTCTATCTCTCTAACAAACAGCTGTACGAATATGGATGCTTCCTTTTCCAAGGGCATTAGTGTGTAAATGATCGAAACGCTTTGGTAGAATTGACCGAAACCACTTCCTGTGCCGATAACCGTAATGCAACCATTCTTAATAATCACAGAAGTCCGAAGATTCCGAGAAAGAAAAACCCTTTCGTCTGTGAAAAGATTAAAATGTACGCATTACAAATGTTCTGCTCAATAAAAATATATTTGAAATGAGCCCCGTTGAGAAGAAGATATTTAAGCCATAGTTGGGAAAAGAACATACCTCTCACCCAAGGGCATTTATGCTAATGTAGCAGGCTAAGCTGGAATGTGAACGCAGGTCGCCCAATTAGCATTTCCGCGCCGATAACTGATACGCTGCCAGCACATGCACTCCAGAATATTTTTCAAAGTATTCACATACCTGTCATTTTGAAATCTCCGTGACAAGCCAGCGGCGTGACAATTTTTATCCCGTAGATGAATATGGAGAAGTGGATTGATGAATCTTCAGAAATAAATAAATAAAGATTTTAGGTTTATATATATATATATATATATATATATATATATATATATATATATATATATATATTTTTGTAAAAACTTACACTACCCATCAATTTTCATTTCATCTTTCGTTTCATCTTTTGGAAGTGCTATCTGATGATCCGGCGTCGTTTAAAAGGGCTCTGGTGAAATAAATTATTATAATGGAACCTTAAAGTGGTCTGTTTTTCTTTTATATATATATATATATATATATATATATATATATATATATGTATTCTAAAAGACATCTTCTGTACTCACTCTCACAGATAGGGAGAGAGAGAGAGAGAGAGAGAGAGAATACTCTAATAGTTAAGACAACACCTAGCCAGGTAAAAACAAACTACTAATGTGCTTACCCCGTCAAGACGTAGGCGATCATGGCCTCCTCAATTTTACTGTCCTTTGTAGCTCTAAATAAATTCTGTTTTTCCGATTTTCTTTTTCTCCTAGAGTCTGTTCCGCTAGCCATTTATTCAAGTTCGTCAAGTTTGTTAATTCGTTGTTTTCTTCCGTTCGTCTTACACTCAATCTCACTTGTGACTATCACATTTTCTAAGCCTTCCCTCCTCATTATGTGCCCCACAAATTTCAACTGTTAAATAATGAGAAAAAATAAAGACATAAAAAATTACTTAACCATTTAAGCATTAATTAAATTCAAACAACAAAGAAATACGCCTATAAACTTAACCTTCCATAATTAATAGCCTAATATTTAAGATATCACCAAGCCAGACAATAACAAATTACTGAATATGAAAAATGAAATAATATTCAGAGATATTTACAAAACATTTACTTCGCTATTTAAGAATATATATATATATATATATATATATATATATATATATATATATATATATATATATATATATATATACTGACTGTCCCGTCGAATTTGACGTATGAGGGTCAAGCAGATCAGTTCCCAGGAAACCGTCAGCCCAACAACAGCACATGAGATTTGATTATAGTGGTGAAGGTTTCGTGCAGAACCATCCATACTTTTTGAAGGACCGAATACAGAGACCTGGTGCACTACGTGCCACAAGGGCCCCAAATGACCCTCCGCAGGCTTTGAATTCAGAGTTGTCCTTCTCCTAAACCAGTTGCCATCAAAGGCTATAGAACCCAGTCTGTCCTGCTATTTACCCATAGCTGGAGGGAGAAGAGAATTCGCACCTTTCCCATATATATATATATACCCATAGCTGGAGGGAGAATAGAATTCACTCTTTTCCCATATATATATATATATATATATATATATATATATATATATATATAATATATAAAAAGTTGTTGCTCTTGTCTATCTGTCTGCTATCGAACTCCTCCAAGGATTTTGGAGACAGACCTTCATAACAAAATATATTCTGAAAATACATTACCCAGGGTACTTGGATAATTATATTTCATTTTGATCATAAACCCACTACTGATTTTTTTCCCCTTTGATTTAAATTAAATCTAAATTTGAATAAGTGAATGACTCCTATCCAAATTATAGAATGAGAAAGCCAGACGTTAAAGGTCACACCGACAAGATAAAAATGAGAAAATATGGACGTCAAGTTGAGCAAGAAATCAACAATCAGTATCTTGTGCCTTACAATACATAATTGTTGCGACAATTCAACAGACATATGAATGTTGAAATCTGCTCATCAATTCATTCAATCAACTATTTCATGAAATACATATCGAAGGGGTCAGATCAAAATGTTTCTGTACAAATCCCTCACTGATTTTTTCCTATTGATTTAAATTAAATCTAAATTTGAATAAGTGGATGATTCCTATCAAAAATATAGAAGGAGAAAGCCAGAAAATGGAGGTCACATCGGCAAGATTATTGATTAATAATGAAACGCATCATTTTTCTTCACAAATTATAACAATGATTTAAAATCAATCAGCATTTTCTTACAAAAGAATGTGTTACAGGCAACATGGCGCGGGTAATTCGGCTAGTATTAATATATATGTACATATGTATTTATATATGCATATCAATCTGTGCATATATATATGTGTGTGCGCGCATGCGTATATATATATATATATATATATATATATATATATATATATATATGAAGAAATATAGTCTTAAGCCGTACTGTATTTAAAAAATAAGTGCTCAATATCAGCGATAGAGCATGCGTAAATATAAAAGTGAACATTGAAGTCAACACTTTTTTTTAAGCATTTCACCCCAAGCAAGGCGGGAAGCTACTAGGACGCAAGGGGTTACAGAAAGTTTAGAGCAAGATCAGATAGGAGTGATAGAAGAAAGGATGAGGGTAGTGGATAGATCAAGGCAACTGGAGATGTCGATTGACATTACACTTGAATAGCTGGAGATTATAGCTCACAGGGAAACAGGAGAAGAGAAGGGAGTTCCACAGGCGAGAGGTGCGAGACATGAAGCTATTAGAGTAGAAGAGGCGGTTACATTTAGGAGTTTCGACAGTGAAGGGGTGAGAGCGGGATGCCAGCCACGTAAGGCGCTGGAACTCATGACGTCTGGGAACAGACAGAGGGAGGCGACGGCGCGTCTGTGAGAAAGTGACTGTAGACGAGACGCCAGGGCAGGGCCAACCACATTGCATATCCACCTCTGGAGCCTATCAAGAACCCCGAGGCAAACAGAAGGGGCACCAGACCATATATGGCAGCAATACTCCATGCAAGGGCGAATTGTGGATTTGTAGATCTGGAGTATCGACTCCAGGGATAAAAACTTCCTAGCGCGGCTCAGGGAGCCAACTTTCTTTGCAGTGGACGAGGCAATTGACTCAATGTATTTATTCCATCTCAGGTCAGCAGTCAACGTGAGACCGAGAAGCCGCAGAGAGTTGCTCTCGAGAAGTTGAGCGTCAGACATTCTAATGGAGGGAAGGGAAGGATCTCTGTGGTGATTAATAGAGAGCAATTTTGTCTTAGAAGCGTTGAAGTTGACCAGCCAATTCATGCCCCAGTTCACAATCGATTGGAGGTCCTTTTTGAGACGCACGGCCAGGTGAGTTTTGTCAGCGAGACTAGATTTGTTTTTGAGGCAGGAATAAATTGTGGTGTCATCCGCGTAGATGCCAACTTGGGAAGTTATGGCGTCAGGAAGGTCATTTATGTAGATAAGGAATAGAGTGGGGCCTAGGATGGAGCCTTGAGGAACACCTGCGTTCGTGGGATAGGAACTGGAGGAGAATCCGTTGAGAACGACCTTCAATTCACGGTTTGACAGGAATGATTGTATTAGGTCAAACAATCGACCCGTAATGCCATAACCCTGGAGCTTGCGAAGAAAGCCGGCATGCCAAACCCTATCAAATGCTTTGGAGATGTCTAGTGCCACGGCTCGGGCTTCCCCATTATTTTGGAGAGCTCGGTAGACTGTTTCAGTGATGGCTGTAAGCACATCGGCAGTAGATCGGGCAAAGCGGAAACCATATTGCTTGTCTGAGAGCAGATTATGGGATGTGAGGTGGTTAACCACCCCGGTATTGATTAGAGCTTCGAAGACTTTGCCGAAGAAGGGAAGGAGACTGATAGGACGGTAGTTGAAAGGGTCAGAGGGGTCGCCAGAGTTCTTGAAGACAGGAACGATTGAAGAGGACTTCCAGCAGTCAGGAAAACAAGATTCCTTGAGGCAGTAGTCGTATAGTTTCGAAAGGGCGGGCGCCAGTTCAGGCGCGCATTTCTTCAAGACAATGGCTGGTATCCCGTCTCCACCACTAGCTTTGTTGGGATCTAAATTAGAGATAACGCTCAGTACCAAAGATGGGGTTATGTTTAACCCACTCAATATGGCCTCAGTTCTAAGAGGGAAGTCGGGTATGGGTACACCGGAAGAGTCGAGCGTCGAGTTGAATGAACATTTCCGAGCAAAGCATTCAGCCTTGTCGGTAGAGGAGATCAGAACTTCGAACTGGTTGAATAAAGGAGGTATAGAGGGTTTTCAATTGTTCAATACGCTCTTGCAGAGACGCCAATAATCTTTGGAGTCAAATTTGCGAGATGCAATACGTTCCTTCATTCGAGCCGCAAATAGTGACTTAGCATCGTTGAGGACACGCTTACATTCGTTACGGGCGGAGGCAAAGAGACGTCTATTGCAGTCAGACATGTCGCTACGGTGGAAGTAGTGGTTTCTATGGGCGATGGCGGC